GGGGGCCTGCAGGGGAGGGGGTGGGGGGCTCAGGGAGGGGGGCTGCTTCAGGCTAGTCACACTGCCTGCTGTGCTGGCAAAACCCAGGGGAGGGCTGCCCCACAGAGCTTTGGCAGGAAACTCAGGGAGCGGCCGCACCTCAGACACGCTCCAATCGAATCAAGCACAGGTGCTCTGGCGGCTGTTCTGTTAATGGCAACCAGAGCTTTCTTGCGAGGCAGCATCCTTGCAGCGTAGACGCACACTCTTGTGCAAGAACTTTTTGCCAATGAGCTCTTCCTCAAAAAGCTTTTTGCGCAAGAAGCCTGCAGTGTAGACGTCGGCTCCGGAACATGAATATTCTTCTCGCCAAGCAACATAATGTGGGCAGGAGAGCTGCTTCCGTCAACAAATCTGGTGCCACTTCCAGAGGTGGCGTTTTATGCCAATGGGAGAACTCCCTCCCACCACTGCAAGTTGCAGTACTGTGGCTATGTCTACACTACAAGGTTTTTGCGCAAAAACCTGCGGAGGGTCCACACCTCAAATGCGCTCTTTGCAAGTAAAGCGGCAGTAATACGGAAGAACAGAGGGCTTTTTCCGGTGTAGGTAAACCTCCTTTTATGAGGTATAACTCCTTTTTGCGCTATAGCTATTGCACAAAAGGCAAGTGTGGACACTCCACAAGGGTTTCTTGCACAAAAAGAGCCTATCCAAAAAAGCACAGGTGCTCTGACGACCATTATGTGAATGGCCATCAGAGCTTTCTTGCACAAGAGCATCCATGCAGTGTGGACGCTCTCTTGTGCAAAAGTGTATCACAAAAGTGATGCACTTTGAGGTGTGGACGTGCTGTTGTTGCACAAAAAGCCTGCAGTGTAGATGTAGCCCAGTGGTCCCCAACGCAGTGCCCGCGGGCGCCATGGCGCCCACCGTGGCATTTTTGTGTGCCCACCTAAACATCTGGGCTGGCCCCGCCCCCGGCGCGCAGCACATGCGTGGTTCCAGGCCCAGGCGCAGGGGCAGCCCCTACCCCAGGCACTCGGCACATGCGCAGTGACGGCCCTAGGCTCAGGGCGCATGAGTGGCCCTGCCCCCGAACACCCGGCACATGAGCGGCCCCGCCCATGGGCAGCCAGCAGCCACGAAAGGTTGGGGACCACTGACTTAGATGACCAGATAGTGGGATGGCTTGCAGTCTCTTGCTGCTGATTGTTCTGCTGGTTGGCCATCTTGTAGTTCTGTGGGCATCCTTTTTGCCCCAGCCCCCAGCCCTAGGGCACACGCCGGCGCTGGGTGCAAGGGCATCCCAGTCCCCTGGCGTACCCCCGGACGTGCGGCCCCGCCCCCGGGCGCCCGGCACGTGAGTGGCCCCACCTCCTGGGCTCCCGGGAGCCTCTAAAGGTTGGGGACCACTGATGTAGCCTGTGTGTGTAGACATGCCCTCGGAGGCTTAAAAATGGAGGGTGTAGCTCAGCTTGTCTACACTGCTCCTTCTTGCGCAAAAACCCCCTCTTGCACAAGAGCCGTTCTGCCTAAAAATAAGTGGCAGAACGGCTCTTGCGCAAAAGTGCCTTGTGCAAAAATGGCAGCTTATTAGGTATGCAAATGAGGGGTGGCAATATTCATTGCTGCACCTCATTTGCATGTCTTGCGCAAGAATGCGCAATGTAGATGTAGCCTGAAGGGCCACAGATTAGATGTTCCTGACCTACAGCAAAGCAATACAGTGGCCAGATGTTTTCTTTTTGCAGCTTTTTGTCACCAGCCATCATTGGCTTAGTGGCCCGGAGACAAGTTTACTGTGTACTGGTGAGTCATCTGACCCTATAGTCCCTGGCACTTGGATCCCATAGTCCTTTCCATAAGGGTTTGTCCAGTGAGCTTTGCCAACATTTTTCCCTCTGCAGGGTTCTACAGTGGGAGCCGCCTTTCAGTGGCATATATGGATGTATGTGCAGCACTGGGAGATAGAGACTTGAGAGAACTAGCATTTCTGAAGATTAGTAGGTATGGGATGGGCAAAGCCTATTGGTTATGATGTGTCCCAGCTCTACGACCACGATGGGGTCACTCGCTGCAGTGCATTTCCCAGCACCTCACATCACTTGGCTAGCACAGATTCTACCACTGGGTGTGTCTAGACTACATGGCTCCGTCAAAGATGAGTTTACCAGACAGCAAAATGAAGCAGTGATTTAAATAATCGCCACTTCATTTTCCTCAAATGGCCGCCGCACTGTGCCAATCAGCTGTTTGTCGGCACAGGGCGGTAGTCTAGACGGGGATCAGCCGACCTCCAGCTCCCTTTGTCGTCAGATCCCTTATGCCATTGACGGAGCCATGTCGTCTAGACACACCCACTGAGTTGGCAGCGTCATTCCACAGCTAATGCAGCTCACTGTGAGGAGGGACTTTCTCCCTCCTGTTCAGTATCAATCACCGTTTGTTTGCTTTGCAAGTTAGGAAAATTAAAGTATCATCATAAGAAACAGCTCAAGTTGTTGGGGAAATCATTGATAATGCTGGTCAGGCTTTGCTAGACTTGTGAGACGTCGGAGGAGCGGGGGGGTAGAAGGATGAATATAAACAGTTCACACTTTATGCCGTTGATTTAGCAGGCACTGAATTTAATTTGGTTAGTCAATGTCTAGTGTTCCTTGCTGCAGCCCCTGGCGGGCAGAAATGATGGACTGTGATCACCGTTCAGGTGCTGCAGCAGAAGTGGGTTAAGAGAGGTAGGGATTTACCTGCCAGTTCAGGGCTATTACTGCCATAGCACCAAGTGGGGGCTGCTCCGGAGCCTGCATTGCAGAGGAGGCTGTCCTTGTACCATATCGTTGTCCCTGAGGGAATGGCCTTTCAAGTAAAAATATTCCATATGGAGCCTCATGGTTGTCCTAGTTCCGTTTTGGGAATACAATCAGACCAGGATGGTAGGCATCAAGGGCTTGATTTCTAGGAGGGCTGAGTCCCCACAGCTGAACTTGGATCAACTTACTTATCAGGAGTCCAGGTGGATTTTTCATCACTGACCATTTTTCAGCCAAGACTGGTTGTTTTTCTCAAAACTCTGCTCTAGGAATTGTGTTAGGGCAGGTCTCTGATCTGTGCTTTACAGGAGGACACACTAGAAGATCCCAATAGTCCCTGTTTCCATGGAGTTTATGAAATTACGAGTTGGAGTTCGTAACTGCTGCTTCTTGGCATCTCTGGAAATGAGGGCACAAACGGCCAGAAACAGTCCAGGTGAAGAGGTGTTCACAAGCCCAGAAAACAACTGTTTAAAATGGCCCTGTTGTCTCCAAAAGCCACACAAACTGCCACTCCCTTTCTACACTCATTGCTTTACAAGGACACGGTAAACCCAGCTCTGACATAACCACAGAAGATGAGAAATGGAAATCAGAGAGAGAGAATGCCCAGAGAACAGCGCAATAGCAGGGTAAGGATAGCTCTGGTCCCAGGAGTCACTTAGGCCAAGTCTACACTAGACCAAGAAGGTTGACTTAAGGTGCGCAACTCCAGCTATGCAAAATATGTAGCTGGGGTTGGCTTACCTTAAGCCAAGCCTTGGTCGCGTACACAGCGTGGGAGGCAGATGGGAGCAAACGCTCCCTTCAGCTTCCCTTACTCCCTTGCAAAAGGAGGAGTACTGGATGCCAGCAGGAGCTGCCCTCAGCATTCAATTTAGGAGTCCATACTACTCCCGCCAATCAAATGCCAGAAGATCTGCCTCCGGAGCGTCTATCTTCTGGTAAGCATAGACGTGCCCTTACTCCCTTGCCCCAGCCATAGAAGTAGCTCAGGGTCTGTCTACACTGCCACCCTCGTTCGAACTAGGGTGGCTAATGTCAGCATTCAAACTTGCAAATGAAGCCCAGGATTTAAATATCCCGGGCTTCATTTGCATGTTCCCGGGCGCCACCATTTTAAAATGCCCCGTAGTTCGAACTACCTGCCCACGGCTACACGAGGCAGGACTAGGTAGTGTGAATTAAAGCTCCTAATTCAAACGACCGGTACTCCTCCTGCAAGGAGGGTTAGGCATTATGCCAAATTTCATGGGCCACTTGCAGTCTGGGCACTGGAGTCCACCCTGGGCAGAGTGTGCCCCGGGGTTATGGAGAATTATCCCTGAGTAAGGAACAGCCAGTGAGGCTGGGAAATCGCAGGGGCCAGCCTGGCTGCCATCGAGTGGGGATGACTCAGTGAGGTCAGTGTGGCTGTTCTTACAGTGAGTTCAGTTCACATGGTCCCTCCCATTCCGGGGGGGCTGAATCCCAGATGGTATCAGGAGCCAGCTGCTGGCTGCCCTCAGAGTTCAGCAGATGAGTTTTCCCAGAGTTTGCCCGTTAGCACCCAGATCTGAGCAGTGGGTCAGTCTAGCCTGGCTGTGAGCAGCTGCCCTGCAAAGCCCTGCCCAAGACACGGCGCTCCCCTGTGGGCCGTAGCGTGAGTGGGGCGTAGCCCGGGGCTCTTTGGGCTGCTGTACGACTCTGCACGTATGGGACAGGGCACTGGGGAGTTGTGGGAAGGTGGTGGCCAGTCAGCCTGCATCCTCATGAGGTACTAGATACGTTCATGGAGGGCAGGTCCATCAGTGCGTATTAGCCAGGCTGGGCAGGGAGGGGTCCCTGGCCTCTGTCTGTCAGGGGCTGGGAATGTGTGATGGGGAGGGATCACTTGGTGATTCCCTGTTCTGTTCACTCCCTCTAGGGCACCTGGCACTGCCCCTGTCTGCAGACCACACACCGGGCTGGGTGGACCTTTGCCATCAGTCAGACCAAAGTGGACAGGCTCCAGGCCCAGTGAAAGCAGCACCACGTGTGAACCCACCCTCAGCTGGGGCAGCCAGCCAGGGAAAGCCCAGGCCAGAGGCTTTGCATGCAGAGGGCAGGGGACAAAAGCCGGGGCTCTTCCCTCTGAAAACCCGCCTGGCAGACTCGTTATTTACCAAGGCGGACGCTGCAGTCAGGGCCGGACTAAGGGGTGGGCTAGCTGGGCGCTAACCTACGCAGCACCACGTGTGAACCCACCCTCAGCTGGGGCAGCCAGCCAGGGAAAGCCCAGGCCAGAGGCTTTGCATGCAGAGGGCAGGGGACAAAAGCCGGGGCTCTTCCCTCTGAAAACCCGCCTGGCAGACTCGTTATTTACCAAGGCGGACGCTGCAGTCAGGGCCGGACTAAGGGGTGGGCTAGCTGGGCGCTAACCTACGGGGGGGCACCGGTCGGGTTAACCCCCGCAGCACTGGCCAGCAGCACCCCTTTCCCCGCGGGCACAGGCCCCTGCACGGTCAGGC